CGATGAAATTTATACGAGGTATCTGTTTTACTACACTTAAATACGAATCCCTAATTACGAGTATGTGAGATAATTTAATTTTATAATTAACTTATCTTCATTCGGCATCTGTTCATTAAATATGGTTTTTCTAATCCCATTTTTATGAAAGTGTAAAGTAAATTAGTAGCAAAGTTATTATATTGGATAATTCATCATGGATAAGATAAATTTATCTCGGTTTGAATGGAGGAAAAATTTATTTAAAGATAGTACTTTTGTAGATTAGGAATATTGGTTTTTACATACAATTTCATTAAATAACTTAACCATACAGAGTGACAGAGTAAGGATTCAATTATATACCATCATCAGCGTTCATCATCATCTTTTTCATTTTATCAACTTCCAGCAGCAGTCTTTCCAAACCGATACGACAACATAACCTTCAAGAAAAGAGCATATTCCTTTTTAAAAGGCCTGCAGCATACCTGCTGGATTTGGGGGTGATCATGGGCGGCGGTGGTCACTTACCATCAGGTGAGCCGCATGCTCGTTTGCCCTAAGTGTTGTTAAAAAAAATTCTGAACTGGCTAACCCGATTGATGTCTTTCTATTATAATTCAGTCAATATTTAATTGAAATATTTGAATTAATAGCTGGGAACAATTTGTATGGAAAAAAGAACAATGGGATTTTTACATTATTTTGGGCTATGTTTTCGATTTATCCATTTATTATTAATACGAAACTATCTTGGACTTTACTGAATATTAAAAAAAAATGAAATGGCCTATTGAAATAGCAGTTTCGAGTTTTGCATTTAACGACACATCAAATTTTTAACTTTTATTTGTTATAATAGACTAAAGGAACAAAACAGCATACATTAGTGCGAGAGTAAAAAAAAACTCGAATGAATTATAATACAAAACCATATGATTAACGCGGTAATTGAAGTCTTTTACGCATATAGCTCTTTTATGGGAAGATATCTGTGCTCATACAAGCAGACAAGAAGTAAGCTCAACATACAGCAGTGCACTGTTGTATGTTCTATAGGATATTGTTTCATCATCATCATCACATATCAGCCGTTTACTGTCTACTGTTGAACTTAGGTCTCAGACGTAAAGGGATGTTAGTAGTTATGATCTTGGCGAACGGGTTGGCAACTGTAGTTATTTATTATTAGCTTTGTTTTTGTTTTGAGAGGGACACTGCTACCTATTCCTCGACCATTTAGTCTCCTTACTCGTCTCTTACGATACCCACAGGAAAGGAAGCAGTGCCCATTTTATGCCAGGATTACACGGAATGTTGTTTATTCTACAGTAATTCCACTCCTATAGAAACTTGCCTTGGAAAATTATTTAAGATCTGTGGAGTGCATAATTTATTAATAGTTTTACGGAAGTAGTTTATTGGTAAAATATAATCGTAATATTAAAATTATATTCTACTATAAATTAACTTTGACTGGCGGCTACACCTTTGTAAGAAATTAAAATAAAATGCAACCTATAGTGCTGTTGCAGAGATTATTGAAAATACAATAATTATTATTATATCAGCTGGTAATTGTCCACTGCACATTTTTCAAGCATATTTTCGGAGTGTTTTGCCAGTAGTTCCCACGCTTAGCAACCGCAGTTAGGCTTTGGTGGTGTTTTAAGAGGAAACGCTGCTACTCATCCCTCAACCATTAAATTTTTTCAGTCACCTCATATTGCACACAGGGAAAGGAAGGGATGGCATCTTTTATGCTGGGAAAATTAAATATATAAAGAAAAGAATAATTGTCTCGACTAAAACATAGTCTACGAATGTCCAATAGTTGTATGAATCTAAAATCGGTTATTTGATTGAATGTTTGATTTATTACTAATTTTATTTAAAAAGTGCTTCTGTGATATTTGAACAAAAGCTTTCATTCATTCCATTGAAACAAACTGTATGTTAATCTTGTAAACGTTCTATTTATGTGTCGAATTTGAATCGGATCCTTTCAGCCGATTGACATACATGTAGAGTGCTTGCAAGGCTTTATTTTGGCTTAGAGGGTAGAATATAGTAGTGGAATTGCAGGATATGAGGGCATAACATAAGTCCTGAGAAGACGGGTAAGATGTGCGTTACATTTTATTGTTTGTATATAGATTTACCGCTTTCCATTACGTGGGTCTTTAACTCGTTAGCTATTCTAAGTTAGATAAAATTATACTTTGGTAACTTTATTATATTATATTTTTTAAATAATATTCTAAATGTAATTGTTTGTAAAGATGTTTAGAAGATTAAAAGTTTATTCAATCATATATAAACAGTGTTAATAATTTATGAATATTATTTTTAAACCACCACATGCTCGCGGCATAGATTGGACCACCCCTTCCTGTCTCGAGGTTGTCGTAAGTGGTGACTAAGAGAATTTAATATTAGAAGGATGGATAGCGTTCTTCTTAAAACATCACCAAAATCTAAGTGTGGTTATCCACTCCCCTGCCAAGTATTGCAGTTACTGGTAAAACCTTGCTTTTGGGGGAGGCCTATGTCCAACAATTGACAGTCAACGGCTGTTATAATAATTAAATTTAAAACTTATGTCCATTTTTAAAGATGTCTATATATATACACACATATACATTTGTCTATGTGTGCATGTGAGATGAGACACAAAGCACTGTATTCCCCCAGAAGATTTCTGGATCAAGCCGAAACAAATGTTGGTAATAATAAACATAGTACGTTTATAAAATTTCTCGTTATACATGTACGAGCATATAGAGAATCAGAATGAAATGTAGTATGAAGATAGATTAATTATTCTATATAAATAACTTTATCATTACATTCGAGTAAAACTGTTCAAGCGTAAGTCGTTTAATAAGCCGAGGAATCTGTACTTATTGATATTGATACTTGAGGCCAATTCTCGTGCATTCAAGTGTATCACGAAGTCGAGAAAAAAATCGAACTCGAACATTTCTTGAGCGAAAATCAAGTAACATTTTTCTTGGTATGGCGATTCTGACATTTCTCGAGGACAAGCCAATCGAGTTGCTCGTGCATTCGAATGTATCACGAAGTCGAGAAAAAAATCGAATCGAACACTTCTTGAGCGAAAATCAAGTGACATTTTTCTTGGTATGGCGATTCCGACATTTCTCGAGGGCAAGCCAAAATTTATTTTTCTACCATTCTATCCATGGAAGCTGTGTATCGCTAATTCGAAATATGTTAGAAGAACTAGCTATATTTGCAGTTGTCTTTGTTAAGGCAGTAGCAGCGGACTGTAAACGCTTATAACATTTTACAAATTTACACGTATAAAAAGTGATGAGAACTGCAGGAAATGCCGGTGTCTGATACTCCCCGCATCGTGTGGGAGCATCCTTTGGGACTACGTCCAGATACATTCGGTTATAGCTAACATTCGGACTTAGTATTTAAATTGCTAAGTGACGAAACTAATAGCTTATTAATCATTGATAAAAATTCAATAAATACGCGTAGAATGCATATTAAAATATTATAAAAATATGACATCTTTTTATTATATTGTAAATTTTAAGTAATTTTATTGGTGATAAAATAACCATTATTTAACCGAAAGTCCATGGAACGGAATTCACGTTGCACCGTGTAGTAGGATCATAGTATTATATTATCTGTGGTAGGATCATTATCTATATTAAAGGGCAGTAATTTACACTTCGACTCGACATTCGAAATATATTTAAATTTGTGTTGAATACGTGATTCGAGAAAATTTCGAGATTTTATAGTAGGAAAAAAATCGAATCACTATCTCTATTTAGAGATTATGTCGAAAGAAATGAGAATTGGCCTCCTGGTACTTGTAAAATTTAGAATTCACCTCTATAAAAGAGAATATACGTGTAGGCATCCTTCTACAGGTCATCGAAGGTGACTTCTAATTTCTTTATATTTGCATTTGCCAAACGTGGAGAAACCGGTCAGATCATAAAATAAATATAATAAAATAAACATGTAGGAGAATAAGTATTATCACTTATAAAGATGGTTCCGTACTTAATATAATACAATTTATATTCAAGTCATACGAATTTCAAATTTATTGATTAAGTCAAAATATTTATTTAGCTTACAAATTATACTGTACTGCGAAACAGTACACTGTTATGTTCATGGTATATGCTCATGTCTGTTGGCGGCGGTTACCACTTTCCATCAGGCGGGCCGTCAGCTTGATACCATTCTAAGTCACATATAAAAATACTTTTCACGTATTTGTTAAGCATTTATTGTATAAATAAAGGACAGTTATTTAAATATATGAGTATACTTGTATTAAGAAAAAACTGTACCACATTTATATAACGTAATAATACAAGCTTTTACTTACGACTTTGTCCGCGTGACTGGGATATGTTTACTCACCTGGATAAAAAGAAGTCTATCCTTTTTCATCCTGTACATGTACTATACATATACACCAAATTTCATATACATAGGCGCTATAAAGAGCTCTTATTGCTTAACCATTTTTTGTTTGTTGGTTTTTTACAAAGGGTCAAACAAACTCAGTTTGATTTTATATATATATATATATATATATATATATATATATATATATATATATATATATATATAGCTTTTTAAGATACATTTTGTGTAATTGCAACTTCTACTTAGGTAAATATTTGTTACTTAAAACTAATCATTTTCAGCTTCCTCATGTCTTGTATTAAAATGAAATATTTTCTGGAAACAGACTTTGAAAAGAGCAGGATAAGCAAATTTATAATTTGATATTTGGAAAAAAATTTCCACACAAAATAACCAGTTGAAAACTGGTTATGCATTTCATTAATAAGTAAGAGTATAGACCCGTAACTACTGACAGGTAAACAGTAGCGTGACATACGATTCCACACATATTTTTCGTAAGGAACCCCAATAAATAAACATTCAGATAAACTTATATTGTTAAAGACTCTATCTTTATAAAATAATATTGGTTTATCACTAAGCAGAACAAAACGTAATAAGTTATATTACTAAACGCACTACAATAAAGCTCGTGGATTCCTACTAAGCAACTTATTTTAACTCATTTAACTAACCAGTCTCACAGTTATAAGTGGGTCATCTGCTTTCGACATGTCAACACAATCTGACGTGCGGACAGAGAAATAAATAAATTGTATTATATTTTTTTTTTTAAAAACAAACTCTTTTTATTGCCAGCCAGTTGCTTTCTGTGAAAGATTTGTGCAATTACGGTATTAAATTTAAAACAGTGTCGTGTTTTTCATTTGTGGTGTTTATATGGGAAATCCAAGGATTGTTTAGTCTGTGTGTATATTGTTTCCTCAATTATATTACTATAATTACATTTAAGCCTTGCACAAATACAGCATTTGTATACGATAACAAGAGATTTATAAGACCACCAACCGAGCTCTAAAAGGTTGTATTAGATTTGATACATAGGGTAGTGTATGCGAGTCTGTTTTGGAGGAAAATGGGCTTGAAAGATAAACAAATTTTATGTGATGCGGACGAAGATAAATACGAGCTTGTGCCCCCAGAGGGAGGCTGGGGATACGTAGTTTGCATTGGGCTGTCCGTCATATTCGTGAGTACTTAATTTTTTTTTTTATATTTAGGAATTTTTTTATAGAAATATGTACGACTATAAAATATTTACTTAAATTTAAAGTGTTTATTTTCTTCTTTTTTTCTTTGCAAGATAATTCGTAAACATATTAACGAGCAATAAAAGTGTAATATACATTCTAAAAAACTGGTATAGGGGTTTTCCTGTGTAAATTAGGATACATTTTTTTTATATTATTCTTTAAGTGGTGCAATAAAGAGTTAATAAATAAATAAAATAAATAAATTGCCAAAATACTTACTTTGCTTCTATCTTATGTAAATTTATCTATGTATTCATTTTTAAATTTTATTCAAATCTGTTAAGCCTATTACACGTGATTGGGTAACAAAACAATCATTCAAATATCGAAATACCTTTTCGAACTTTAACATGTATAATATTAGTAGGACTAAATATTTCCTGCGGTTCTACCTGAATATATAAAAACTACCTTATGTGCTAAGTTGGAATCTGGTCCCTTTATGGAGTGTTTAATCAAATTCGTTCTACTTTGATTACAAATAATCAAATATGTAAATATTCAAATATCTTTCATATTTGTAATATTAGTAGTGATTTTTTTTTGTTATTTTAGCCGTTAACTGCCCACTGCTGGACATAAGCCTTCTCCATTACGAGAGTTATGCCAGTAATTGTCACGTTTGAAAGGCAGGTTGGCAATCGCAGTTAGAATTTTAGAGATATTTTAAAAGGGACACTGCTGTCTATCCCTCGCCCTCCCTTAGTTGCCTCTTACGACACTCACGGGAAAGTAAGGGGTGATCCATTCTATGCTGGGGCATACACGGAATAGTGACCGTGTAATAATGATAAAAGATAAATTTAAAACAGAATAATATTACAGATAATTTGAATGTTAGTTTACCAGAGGGAGACTTTGTACAAAAGTCGATTGCTTGGGAACATCTGTCCCATTTGTGTTTCTACCGTGAAGCAGTTGTGTTTGCATGGCTGTGTTTCGGTTTGAAGGGTGGGATATGGCGTGAATTTACGGGATACAGAGGAATAACATCTGAGTCCTCAGGAATGGCAACGCATAGGGGGGTATCATGGGTGTAACAGTATACTCTGTTATGTCCATGGTACTGCTCATGTCTATAGGCGACGGTTACCACTTTCCATTAGGTGGACCGTCAGCTTGTTTGCCGTTCTAAGTTGTATAAAAAAATGACATTTTTTGTTAAATGAGAGATAGAAAATATTGTGTCATTATGAATATTCTATTATAAAAATTACTTATGGAGAAATTTTGATTTCCATTCTAATATAGGGGTAAATTAATATTAATTAACTACAGAATTTTTATCGACGTATTTATCGTATAAATTAATCTGAATATTAATGTAAAGAAAGTAATTGATTCTGATACGTCAACTCGTCTTCTCATATAATTACATAATATGATATTTTAAAAACAAGTCAGTTAATGGAACTTGCAATCTTTTGCTGGTAATACTGATGTGTTATAATTTATCAACTACCAACACATCAACATCCCACTGTTGGGAATGGAACTCTATACTAGCGTTAGACTAATATCTTTTTTTATTATAATAAAATTTTAACCTTAATTTAGACTCTTAGATTGGGTACCTAAGAGTCTCAATTAAGTCCAGTTAGCCGTAATCTCAAAGAATTTTTATATCTTTAAGTAATCTTTTAAGATTTGTTATTAATATTTATAGTATTTAAACATTGTAATTTATAAATGTCTAAATTACGAATAAGTAGAAAGCAAGTCGCAAATATAAAAAAAAAATTGCTCTGTTAAGTTATAATCCTTACACATATTATAAATGTGATGGTGAGTTTGTTTGTTTGTTTATTTATTTTATAATACCTTAAAAGGTCGTTTGGTCCCGGTATAGGCCAACCTTTTCTTTTCCATGAGTGTTGTAAGAAGTGACTAAGGGAGGGCAAGGGATGGGCAGCAGTGTCCCTATTTAAAACATCTCCAAAGCCTAAATATGGTTGCCCATCCTCCTGCCAAGCGTCGCAATTACTGGAAAAATCCCCCAAGATAGAAGCCTATATTCAGCAGTGGACAGTTAAAGGCTGATATGATGAACACATTAAATGCTTAATCACAATCATACACGTACTATATGAAATGGCGAAGGATATAGGTTACTTTTTATCCCAGTCAGTAAATAATTTCCGGTTACGCGGATGAAGTTGGGGGCAAAAGGTGGTATTAAACCAGAAGTAAAAGGTAAAATTAAATACACATTAAATATATACATATACATCACGTCTATCGCTTGTCGCTAATTGAGACAGACAGAAATAGTGGAAAGACAATTGCTTTGATTAAAATATATCTCTTTATGAAACATTAAATCTATTTTTTTAATAAGACGGTGGAATTATAATTTCAGCCGTCAACTGTCCACTGCTGGACATAAGTCTTTCCCATAAGGGTATTTATGCCAGTAGTTGTCACACTTGGCAGGCGGGTTGGCAAACGCAGTAAGGCTTTTAGAGTTTTAAGAGGGACGCTGCCCATCCCTTGCCCTCCTTTAGTCGCCTCTTTCGGCATTCACGGGAAAGGAAAGAATGACCTATTCTATGCCGGAGAACACACGACAAACAATAAATACTAATACTATACTCATGTGAGTATAACTATAGTGGTGTAATAATTGTAATTAATGATATTTTTACACGGGGGAGAAGGATTGTTAGTAATCCCTATTACGTTAACTTATTGATTTATTTATTCTTTATTGCACAATAAAACTTTGTACAAATGGCGAGCTTAATACCATATGGCATTCTCTACTAGCCAACTAATCTCCATTGCTAGCAATTTACCCTGTTAAATCGACCTCCAAGTAGTTCCCTCTGGAAAGCATCGAGATTAATCATTGTCAAATTCATCGCTATGGGCCAACTGATCTAACTTTATTCTCACTAGTCCCCCGTCAGTTTATACCGATAGCGCAGGCGGGATTACCATTTTATTATCACCCATTAAAAAAAAAACTTTACGCGACATGTATACGTATTTTCATTCAAAATAAAGTATTGTACTTTAATACGTAAACATGATTATTTAAAGATGTTCCGTTTAATTGTTTATTTATTACATCTATCATTATTAATGATTGTTTGTTTGTCCTATACTTTCACTCTTATCTAACACGGCGCGGCGATGGAAATGTACTAAGTTATAATAAATTCAAAGTAACAACCCTAAGGGCACGACTAAGAGTAACATGTATATATATATATATATATATATATATATATATATATATATATATATATATATATATATATATATATATATATATATATATATATATATATATATATATATATATATATATATATATATGATCTTTTTTTAATAAATCCATATTCAATATTCTTCAAAAGAAGAAGTTCATCTTTAATAAAATCTAAATCTCTTCAAACAGAAAATGATAATAAAAACAATTTTTTTTTGTTCCGCGAAATAATATCTACGTCAATTGTGAAAAAGGTAATATGAGTATGTGTAAACCTGCTCTTAGTACTACATTTTATCTATAATATAAAAATGAATCGCTCAATGTGTTGCTAAGCACAAATTTCGAGAACAGCTAAACCGATTTCGCTAATTATTTTTTTAGAATATTCTTTGAAGTACAAGGATGGTTTTTACGGAGGGAAAAAATAAAAAAATGGCTGAAAAACTCTGCATAGAACGCTTTTCTACACTCTCATACAAACGATTCGTAATACTTAAAAGTCAATTTGAACTTTAACACCATACCATATAGTTCAAGTGTTAGTTTAGGAGAGGTTTCGGGAAGGCAAAACAATTGAGTGATGTTAGTGTCGTATAAATCTAGCCGACCCGGCGTCCCGAATAACAGTTTTAAAAAAAACTAAAAAATTAAAGAATCGACTCGTCAGCTAGTTGGTCAATAAATTTAAACAAATAAATATTAGTCCAATACGAAAGTATCTAAACTTTATCAACTGCATAAAGTATAAAAATAGGTTGTATAAAATTTTTAACTTTATTTAATTATAATATTATTTTCATCTATTTTATACCTATTATTATACGAGTAGGTATATGTATACCTACGAATAAACCAGATAGGGCATTGACCTATTGAACTTATATCCTTTAACAGAATGTCAAGTGATTACAATCTTGTAGCTATAAATGTCATTAAAATAATATCTATTGATTATTATAATTACTTCACATACATTATTACGGTTCGCGCGAACGTCACTCGATTTGATACCTGTCTGTAAATTCTATAGATATAGACCAGTTTTTTATGGGTTAGAATGGTATGGTAACTCCGCCTGCGCTATCGGTATACGCTGCCGGGTCACCAGTGAAAGATGACAAGTGAGGATGAAATCAGATCAGTTAGCCCATCGTGACCAATTCTTCAAAACTTAACCACGATGATTTTTGGTGGATTGCTCCGCTCATTCATAAACCACTTAACGGATTTTTATAAAAGATTCACTATTATTTGGACATATTTTTATTAAAGATTCATATGAACTATATGTATACCTATACATTCTAATTAATCTTTTTTATAAAGAGATGTTTGCAGAAGTGCTAAGCCGGAAGTCGCTAGCTAACTAGGTAATGGGAACTAGCAATCTCATTATGTGTATTTGCAATGAAAATAATGTTAGGTCGAGGTGGAAAAACTGAAGTAAATCAAAGTTTAGAAGATTGATTTTGCTTTTTCCGTGATCCAAACCTATCAATACGTAATAGCCAAAAATAAAATTAAGCAAGACGATGTTGGTATCACAGTTAATTTCTTGTGAATTCGTTGAGCTATTTGATCTGACTTCTTCCACGCAAATTTATCTCTCTTCAGTCGTACACTCTTGGCAGAGTTATGGTTTTCGTGATTATAGTGGATTGCCGATGAGGTTCTTCTTCACGATTGAAGTCTTCGCAATGTCTCTTCATTTATTTCTGCTCACAATACATACAGTATACTGCTAGAGTACACCGAGTGCAGAATTAAGCCGTGTCGTCACGGAATAGAATGAGCCACCCCTTCCTTTCCCTTAGCTGTCATAAGAAGCGACTAAGAAAACTTAATGATAATGCGGGATAAGTGGCAGTATCCTTTTACCGTGACAATTACTGGCAAAACTACCCAAGGGAGAGGCCTATGTTCGATAGTGAACGATTTGCTGCCGATATGATAAAAAAGATAAACTTGTTTCAATTTTTGTTGTCAAACCGTATTAACACGATTATTTTATTACTTTCAGATAGCTGGAACCGCCCACCAACCTGTCTTCGGGTTCATATATAATGATTTCCTAAACGAGTTAGGAGTGGGCACTGGGGCTGTGACGGTCGTGTTTGGGGTATTCCAAGTTACATTGGCTATCGCTGGTATGTATACTTATGTAACCGTTTTGTAAATGGATAGGGATGGTAGAATAAACTTCATTTAGTGAAACAAATAACACAAAGTAAAGAATAAAAGAATACAAATATAGCGGTTAAAAGTTTTTTTTTTTTTATGCAACTTAGAATAGAGAACAAGCTGATGTCCCACCTGGAGGAAAGTGGTAACCACAGGTGAGCAGTACCATGGACATAATAGAGTATACTGTATCGTCAATAATACCCTCCATGTGTTGCCATTCCTAAGGACTCAGGTGTTATTCCTCAGGTATATCCTGTAAATTTAATGCCATACCCCACTCTTTAAACCGAAACACAGCCATGCAAACACAACTGCTTTACACACGAATGGAACAGAGGTGCCCAAGCAAACGACTTTTGTACAAAATCTCTCTTTGGTAAGTTATTTTCAGAGATCATATTAAATAAGTGTGTGTGTGAGGAAGAAAGAGAGAGCGAGATAGTGAGATAGAGAAAACCTAGTGGAAACTAGAATAAAGCTAAATTTAAGCTAATATAAAATTTTTTGTTGCAACGAAAACTATAATAAATTTTGCAAAGTAGATAATATAAGGAAATCTTTTTGATTTTGTTTCCTACTGAAAGATTTTATTTCATCATTATATTACAATAGAATACAGAAAAAAATAAAAAGCCTCACTGCCGTAGATCGGAAGAATCTAATCTACGGCAATGAGAGCTCACAAAAAATAATTTTATACATCCTTAGTAATAAATTTTTAACGAGACAGACATTATGATTTATAATAAAAAAGGGAAGTTCAAACAGCTATTATTGCATCATTATGAAATTTAATAGACGTGTACAAAGCTAAATTTGAATACGCAGAATTTGAATAGAAAATTTGAGAATGAAAATGCAATGTTTTTTTTTATACTACTGTAGTTGTTTGGAGGAAATAAGTATTACAACTAACTTTATCCATTCACATATATACAGAAGGTATTAACAAAGGAACATGTAGAAAATAATATATAAAAACGGAAATTAAAAGTGTAATAGGTGAGCGATCGAGATGGAGGGAATGACAGTTAAAATGAATATAAGAAGTAAACGTCGCTGTCATGTCTGTACAACCAGTCCGAAAGAAAGAGGTGAATTATCTAAGTACAATTTAATTAACCTACTTGATGGAAAAGAAAATAATGATGTTGACAATGAATATGTACAATATTCATTTACAGACGTCACACTACTATGTAGTAATAGGTAAAGGGGGGGGGGGGGGGGATTGTTAATAATCAGGTCGACATCCACGCATGATTCTGGAAACCATCGTGGCTAATTCTAGTAGAATTCGTTCTGACCTGCTTTCATCCTCATTAGTCATCTATCACTGGTGCCCCGCTATTATATACTGATAGCGCAGACCTTAGTCTATGGATGCTTGTTATATCAGGGATGTTACGTTCGCATTGCAGTCTATTAACAAACCTTACTACGCCCTTTTTGGTGAACCCATGCTGTAGTCTTTAGGAAAAGTCTCAGTACTAAGATAATTTCACAACCTGAGTGTTCGCGGGAGGAACTTCCTCTGAAACTGCACTGTGCGTGACAATTCTAGTTCTAAGTGTGAGGATGGATTCTCTGCTAAAGACGAGCGATACTATGGTGAAAAGTTACTGAAGCCATCATATTGAAGAGTTCTTTATAACACAAACAATATGTTAATATGATTAAAAAAAAATTGAGATATTTTCAAGTTTTAACAAAATACAAGGTCGTTATTTACAATAAAATAAAAGAAAATAGAATACATTCATAGATATTTTTAAGTTATTTTGTCATTCTTCATTTGAAGAGAATTATAGCTCTATATTATGTTATATGTTAGAATGTTAAATCTCAATTTACACAATTTAGTAAATTGCCTTAGCTAATCACATAGTAACAATGACGGCTTAACATCAATTATCTGTAGATAATCATTGAATCTGACGGCTCAATGTACTCGTCAAGGTGTCGCTCGATATACTTATTCGATTGATCTATGTCGACAGGGCATAATTTAAACAGTACGGTCTTCTTGTATTTAATCGTCTGATAATTATGTATCTAATAATCGAGAATGAAATCCGACTAGTTTTAGAACCATCCGAGATCCCTAGTCATAAGCGGCCGTGACATGAGCGGGAATGAGAAATATATAGGAATATGTCGTGTGGTTCCAGTTTATAATAAGGCGACTAAGGGAATTTAATAATTGAAATCGAAAGATGGACTGTTAAAACGTCACGAAAAATATAAAAATTAGGCCTTGGTGATGTTTTAAAAGGGACACTGCTGCTCATCTCTCGACTATTAATTTCTCTTAGTCGCCTATAGGCAAGGCAAGGCGACATCCACAGAAAGGAAGGGGTAACCTATTCTATGTCACTATTACACGGCCGAACCTGTTCATCTGTTTACTATAACACAAATACTATAATCGGCTTATTGTGTAGTAAAATTTTTAGTTATTAATATGCATTCATTTAGATTTATATTTATAATATTATATTCACTTATATTTATAATATTATATTCGTAATAACTCACTTCACATGTTAAGCAAGGATCTCTTTTCATAAAAGTGGGACTTTAGACTACTATTGCTACGCTAGTTAGGTGGCCTAGTATGGAGTTTTATTTTAAGTCTCTCTTCTAATTCACTAATATGGTTTTGAAAGGAAATGGTGATACATTGTTTTAGTATTCTATTACCATGCCAATTTATATTTTGTTAAGTTATAAATATACGTATGCTATATGTTATATGTGTCTATATTAATGTAATTTCTGTTTCTAATTTTGTCAATGATTTATTATTTTATTCCAGGATTCACGGCAAATATATTACTGAAGAAACTAACATTAAGACAAGTTGGATTGATTGGAGCATTCATATATACAACGGCATCATTTCTTGCAATATTTGTAGTATCTACGACTCAACTAATAATAACAAATGGTTTTCTACAAGGCTTGGGCATGGGTTTCCTCATTCCAGTATCTTATACTAGTTTCAACTGTTATTTTACAAAGAAAAAAGTGCTTTATCTCAGTCTATGTAAGGCTTCAATTGGATTAATAACGATGGGGTATCCGTTATTCATTAAATTTACTTTAAACGAGTACGGATTTAGGGGAACACTGGCCATAATTTGTGCTATATCAGCCCACAGTATATTTGGAGCCATGGTGATGCACCCTGTACAATGGCATATGGTCAAACAACCAAAACCATGCGAGAAAATTGTTTGTAAGTATTTAATACTAATTTGTTACTAAAACAAATTAATTAAAAAGACAAATAGATTATTTGTAACATGAGAAATAATATGGATCAACACGGGAGTAAGCTCAAAGAGTTTACTCTCGAGAACTCCCGAGATGAATTATCGAAATCGGTTCAAAATTCGCGGAGAAATTGCATAACGTACACGTCTTATTTATGAAGTTAATAGAATATAAACAATCTTGTTGTAGATATTACATTATGCAATATATTGTTACTTATCAGTGTTACGTATTTCGAATTCTTCCCCTGTGAAAATTCTGTTATTTGTTTAGGACAAATGCTTACTAAGGATAACTTTATTTTCGTAGAACAAACTACAATGTATGTTTCAATTGTTAATGGATTTCCCAAAAGATTTAATAACACATTGCGATAAATAAAGTAATATAAATAAATTATTATATAGCACAATTTTAAATATTTGCAATGTTTTAGTGATACCACCAACTCCTGCAGTTGAAGCTGATAAAGATCATTTCGATTTCACGAAGAATGGAATTAATGTCAACAAAACAAATACAACACAACCAACAAATGAGAATACCAAATCTGTTGAAAATTTATATTTGAATAACAACAGACGCAAGGGTTCAGAATTACTGGGCGTACCAGAATTAGCGGATTCCAGGAGATTGAGCATTCCTGTGGTTTTGATCCGGAACGACGGCAAGACGGATAGTAATTTCAATTCGAGTGACAACGTTTATATTGAGAATCTGTATAAAGCTGCCTCTGTATCCAGTTTAGGGAACTTTGGCAATATTGCCGCTGAACCGATGCCAATTATCAAAAACAAAGAAGGGAAATGGTAAGGAAAAGCTTTTAATATTATGTAGACGATTTATATTTAAATCTCGTACCTATTTTAAATTGTAGAAAATGTAATTAGACTCAGTTGGAATAGATTTTAATACTATTAATTTCTCTGTAATGACCTCAACTCTGAGCTCATTTAAATTTGTTGGAAATGTATTTAAAGCAATAGGTAATATTTTTGTTTTCAGGCAAACCGTAACCGAATTTTTAGATCTGACATTGTTAAAAGATTGGGTATATGACAATATTACAGTTGGAATGGCGTTAACTTTCTTTGCTGATTTGACATTCTTTACATTGGAACCTTTGTTCTTGGGAAGAAATCATCTGAGTCAGGTGAGATTATATCCTTATTTGTATTTTGTTAAAAAATTACGTACATGTTTTCCCATTTAGTCATATACGTAATTATTAAAAAAAAACTCCTGATAAAAGGAAAAGCAAAACATTAAATATAAATATTATTATATCAATAAGTGCTCTCATATTTTGGGTATTTAAACTATTATAATCAAGTGTGAAATAATAAATTTTTGGTTTTATATACTTAGATACTTAACCAATTTAAAATTATATGCATATATTAGAAAATAACATTGTAAGGACATAATATGGGCTGTATTTTTCTTTTTTTTTTTTTTAAACCGTGCGAAGCCTAGATGGGTTGTTAGTTTAATAATAAAAATAATAAGATGACTTTAACCATAACGAAATAAACATATAATGAAACAAAAAAATCATTAGCAATATTTTAAGAGAGTGTTCTACTAGAGTAACTGATTATTTCTCTAAAGAAAATATGAGTTAAAAAATAAGATACCGAGAGCACTTTCTTAAATGGTTTAAATTTTACCCTGAATAATATATACGAGTATGATTAATCCCACGGATAATCCGCGTGAATGATAGAGCAGCTATTTATTAAACCAAGATAATATTTTACCCTATTTCTATATAAAATTATATTTTAATCCTTATATCGCTCTTATAAATATCTTTATAAACTTGAATTATTTGTTAGAAAAGGTTCTTATAGTTTAACATAAAGTTTGCAAATTTTGTTATGTTTAATAAGAAAATAATTCAAGAAACGATTTCTTTATTTATATTAATTTTTTTTTTTTCTTTATACTTTCAGTCTGAAATTGCCTACATAATTACATTTGGTGGAGCCACAGATATGACTGCGAGATTACTATTGGGCGTTGCGGGCCAATTTTTTAGGATAAATGCTCGCTGTATGTTTTTTGCGGGTGCCCTATTTGCTGCCATATTTAGGATAGGTAACTATTAATTAGCAATAATTAATTATATTTCTTCTCTCTTTCTATTATTATATTTTTTTGCAACATGGAATGGCAAACAAGCTGACGGCCCACCTGATGGAAAGTAGTAACCGTCACCTATAGACATGAGCAGTACCACGGCATAACAGAATATACTGTTTCGCCCATGATATCTCTCTTGCGTTGTCGTTCCTACGGACTCAGGTGTTATTCCTCTGTACCTTGTAAATTCACTGTCGTATCCCACCCTTCAAACCGAAACACAGCCATTATTGAATGATCCTTAGAATGGAAAATAAGTTGATATCTCACGTGATAAAAAGTGATAATGATCGTTTATGGCAGTGATTCTCAACCTTTTTTTTGTTGCGGCACATATTTAACGATTTCAAAATTTGGCGACACAAAGAAAAAGATAAAAAATATTTACTTACTACAACACACTGCATAAGTTGTTTATGACAGAAATTTTAAATATTTGCAAAATTTGGCGGCACACTTTTAAAATTTGGCGGCACACAAAAGTGCCGCGGCACAGTGGTTGAGGATCACTGGTCTATGGTATAGACATAATTAATAATATAATATATTTTTTCTTTACAGCATTCGTTCAGTACACAACATTTACGCCTTTATTGGTGTTGACTGCAATATTAGGCGCAACGAGATCGCTGGTGCATATTGCTCAGCCGATTGTGATGGCTGAGCATGTACCTATAGAGAAGTATCCGCCTGCTTACGGCCTCTATATGCTGTTGACTGGAGCTCTAAGTTTATCAGTCGGCCCTATGATAGGTAAGATTATCATCGTTTATATGCTAATTTAAAATTACTTACAATTTTCCTCACATTACTCCATAAATTTTAATTCTTTTCGTCGTTTTCTTGGACATCTCTGTCTCACTTTATGTATAGTATTTGCTACGTTTATGAACCGAGAATTAAACGGAAATTGATAGCAGCATATAAAATTAGGAATATACCCATATTATAAAATATATTAAGATATAAAATACGTGGATTAATAATTCAAAATCGTAAATATTTTTGAGTCTTCTACCCGTACCAACTAAATAACTAAATGCGTTGTGTTTGTTAATTTACCAGAGGGAGACTTTGTATAAAAGTCGTTTGTGCAAAGTCTCCCTCTGGTGGTGACCTCTGTCCTATTCGTGTTTCTACCGTAAAACAGTTGTCTTTGCATGGCTGTGCTTCGATTTGAAGGGTAAGATGTGACAATGAATTTACAGGATACAGTGTAATAGCACCTTAGTCCTCAGTAAAGCATGGGTATCATGGGCCAAATAGTATACTTTGTTATGTCCATGGTTACTGTTCATGTCTATATGCGATGGTTACCACTTTCCATCAGGTGGGCCGTCAGCTTGTTTGCCATTCTAAGTTGCATAAAAGAATGTAAGTTATAAAAATACAAGTTGCAAGGCTAGATATAAGTGCATACAGTATGATAGGTAATAATAACAGGAAACTATATTTAAACATTAGTACAAGATAGATAGATAGACAGATAGATAAACACTTTATTTGAGCCATTTATGACACACGCAAACTAACAAATAAGTTCATACAAAATATTAATTACACAAGCACCGATTTTCACACTACTGAATAGTAATTTATGTCTAATCTATTTAAATTTAGCGCCAGAAAAATCTCCTAATAAAATTAATTATTAACAGCATATGTTTTTGTTCCAACATAGCATTTGCTAACTTTAATAATTTAGGCGTTATGACAAATGATTTATGATGTATTGAAATAGATTTTTATACTCTATATATTTATATGAATAATAGGTATTTTTTTAAACGATTTGAAATGACAAAATATCCTGACAGCCCATGTGATGGAAAGCGGTAACATAGGTATTCAGTAATTTCAAAGCATAGTAGCTTGATTGTAGACGCAAAAATGAGACAAAGGAAGAGAAATATATATTTTAAATACAAAAAGTTACTTTGGTATGTACAACATGTGTATTTGTTGGATTATATATTAACTAACGCCGTATGGTCCCGGCTTAAAATGGGCTACCCCTTCCTTTTCTTGTAAAATATGTTAATAGTCGAGATTGAAATATTACCAAACCTAACTGCAATTGCCAACCCGTCTGCCAAGCATGGTAACTACTGGCAAACCCTATTGGGAAAGGCTTATGTACAGCACTTGGACAGTTAACGGCTGATGTATGATGATTAAGATGATGATGACATTAACTAGAGATAAAAATGAGATAAAATAATATATTCTATTAATTAAAAATAATAAATAGAAAAATTAAGTTCTTTTTATGTATAATTATTCCAGGTTTTCTTCGAGACATCACAGGAAGTTACGTGATAGCGTTCAACATGCTTACAGCATGCAACCTCTGCTGCGTTATTCCATGGAGCATCGAAGGCATACTCAGATTTATGAATCGGAAACAAACCATGAAATCCCTTCAAACGTGATTTCAAAAATGGAAATGACTGTGATATAAAATTATATGAACTAGTTTCTATGTACATTGTGTGGTTTAAAATGTACTAGTCATATACTATATTAATGTAGGCACAATACATGTAGCTTACATGTACCAATATATTAATTATTAATTTAAAAATAAAACTTTTTAAATGACAATTAATATAGCAGCGGTAGTTACTTACCTTGAGGTAAGCCCCATGTTCGTTTGCCCTATGTTATAAAAAATATGTAGGTGGTTTAAGACCGTTCCTTATGGCAGTCTATTAGGGAGGTCTGTGTTCAGCAGCGAACAGATAATGGCTGAGATGATAATAATGATGATTATGTAGGATTCTTGTGGCTTTAAGAAAACTGATGTCTTATCTGAAAGTGGGTAACATCACTAATAGTCAAAAATTATAAAAATAAAGAGCAGTTTATTACTGATAGGATTCCTCAGACTGTCCATAATAACCTATTTACATCCTATAATTTGGCATAAGTTTTTTCTTACATATAGAGAATACTATTACCATGGTGGCTAAATGGTTTGGTATAGGATTAAGTTTCGAGATTTCCTTTTTAGAGCACTGGTAGGTTTATTGGACTTACGACAACGTAACTATCAAGAAAAAAGCGTATTCGTTTTTACAAGGCCAGCAGCAGATTTGAACGGTATTGTTGGTGCTCATGGGTGGCGGTAGTCACTTACTACCAGATGAGCCGCATGTTTGTTTGCCCTCTGTCATAAAAAAAAAACTGATATGTATCGTAGTCATTTTTAACACTTTGCAGATGAAAAGTAATGGCGATTATTTGTATTCTTTATTCTTCCTGAAACTAGGTTTTAGGACTAGAAACATTTCTTGTTAGGTGTTTTTCTTTACACAAAAAAAGTACAAAGAAATCCTTACGGTACGACTTTGTTCGTCCGTCCATCTATCTGTCATAGCTGCATATCTCGATTAGGTTTTTTTTTTATTTAAAATTAAGATTGAAATTGTAGATAATATTTTTTAAACTGACAATTTTCAGAGTAATTTGTTTCTTTTTATCATGCATTTATTTAAATTTGCATGCTAATTTTTCTCAAAAAAATACATATAGGAGTTTTTTTTTTTTCTTTTCTAATGATGATATCTGTATTTTAATACTGCCATTAATCTATTATATAATATATTTATTCTAGCAGAAATATACTTTATAAAATTTCTAAGAATAATTATTTATAATATTTTTTAACTATAGTGGGTACTAAATACCTACATTACTTATGTACGCAAAAAAAAAAACTATAAATAAAAAATAAAAGTAATAAATTATGAAAGTATTTTCTTATTATTTATTAAAAAAAAATCCGTAATATTTCTAGGCAATTTACTATCGTGATGTACTTAAATATACTTATTTAGTTTTGTCTGATAGATTTCTCATTTACTTATGTAGAAAAAAATATGAGTAATAAAAACATATTAGTGACTATTTCGTCTGTAATTATTTAATAATTCAAATCTCAGAGTTAAAATTTAAATTAATAAATTATCATTACTAACATACCTAATTTTGATGATTATAAAGTTTATGAGTATTTCTTGTTACTATTTTTAATAATATATATTTGTACTTACATGTTTTGATTTAATAGTGGGAGTTCCCCCACTATTAAATCAAATGAACCGCGTCACTACTATCGGATGCACAATGGTGTGTTATCTACCAATCGAGAATAGATAATCATGAATATCATCTACTATTATATAGGCAGTGAGCTTATGTATTCTATTGATCAATAAATATGTATTATATATAAATACTAGCTGACTCGGTAAACGTTGTTTTACCATATACATTATATCTAGAACTATACATGAAAATATATCGTACTACAATTATTATATTCGATTATCATCTTGCAGCCCTATTGCGGCATACAAAAATTGCGATTAAACATTAGGAGTTGATAGTAAAAGCGTGAAAATTTGAATTTGTATGTATTTTTCAATGCTACTCGTAAATCATAATAAAATAAAAATAAAAAAAATATTGTCAGAAAATAAAAAAAAATATTTAGGGGTGGGTCACCCTTATCAGTGAGAGGTATGAAAAATACATGTTGGCTGATTCTCAGACCTACCCGATATGCACACAAAATTTCATAAAAATCGGTAAAGCCGTTTCGGAGGAGTTTGGTAACAAACACCGCGACACGAGAATTTTATATATTAGATGTACACGTATACACACCTGTGTATTCACAAAAACGCGAAGTAAAAGGTGAAACCGCTTAGAGACGCTAAATAATATCAATAGAATCACACCAAATGCCTGGTCTTCACGAGTATCTGGAGGCATAACAATAAGAATAAGTAATATTTGTTATTCTTATAACAAAACCGAGAATACTTAGAATACATTTGTATACCAGTTTTAAATACAGTCGTACTCTGCTCACGACTTCATTTATTTTTCAATCATCTTCAAAATAAGGAGGTTATCAATTCAGTTGTATTTTTTTTAATGTTTGTTACCTGTTTTGTTTGTCTTGTTTCTGTCTGTATATAAACCGATTAGGGAAATTATTTTTTTATATAAAAGGATATAACAGATTGATCCCATAGATTTTTTATAAAAAATATAAAATGTAAATATATATTTATTACTGTCACAAAATAAAAATATAATAAAACTTATAGTTACATAGGTTACAATTTAAAACAATCTTTGTGAGAGATTGGTGTCACCAGGCTCCCAAACTCAAGGATATCTATTTTACTTGATTTGTTAAGATAAGAGTATATAAATGAAAATGAAATTTTATAAGCTACATGTATGTACTAGTATGGATGAGGATGAGAGTATTTTTTATCAAAATTAGTCCAGTAGTTTAGTTTTTAAATCAAAACAACTGGTTTTGCTACAGTTGAAGTCTTATGGAATATACTGTTAATTATTATATATTTTATTTATTTATTTAACACTTTATTGCACCAACATTAAAGGATTTGTTGAACAATTTTCGATAAGTATAGTGTAGTACAAAAGGCGGTCTTATTGCTAAGCAATCTCTTCCAGACAACCTTTGGATAAGAAGAATTAACGAATAAATAGATAGGTGGCGTGTTAAAAAATAGATCTGTAAAATATATATATATATATATATATATATATATATATATATATATATATATATAATATAACTGGTAGGAAATAAGGAGGACTAAATTATAAGGATAGGTAGTGGGATTTAACTATTATATTGGTAAATAGTATACGGTTACCGTAATCTATGGACGCCTGTAACACTAGGGATATCACGCCCTCGTTACCGACCCATAAGACATCTTATTACACGCTTTTTGAAGAACCCCAATTATTAATATTATCTGTGCCCATGCTGTAATCTCTAGGGAAAACCTCGGCAGGAAGGTCATTCCATTATCTGAGAGTTTGCGAGAGAAAGCTACTCTAAAATCACCACACTGTATTTGTTAAATTATATGAAGTCAGAAAAATTATAATTTGTACAAAAATGGTCTCTGTGTTATAAAAAAAATCTGTTCAAGTTTTCAATAAATATAGACAGACACGAACAAATTCTTTAGTGCCATTAAATATGTATGAATGTCGTATGTGTGTATGTGTGTTAGTATGTGGTGTGATGACCTCATACGTAAACGAACAAAGAATTGTTATCGTACCAACGTTCACCTTATCTAGGGTTGGCAAATTAGTTACATAGGTTTTTTAAAGGATGATAATGGAATGGCAACCCCGCCTGCGTTAAGGGTATACGCTGGCAGGGCACCAGTGAAGTACGATAGGTGTGATTTAAAAATTAGGTCAGTTAGCCCATCGTGATGAATATACCTGGAATTTGTCACGATGGTTTCTAGGAGGGACCACATGGAATCAGCCTGACAGGGTACTAGTAATCCCTTTATGCTGGGGGAAGGGATTGTTAGTAATGGGGAGGTTAGTCCCCATTGCTATCAATATACCCTATCAGGTCGACCTCCACGCGGTTCCTCCTGGAAACTATCTTGACTAATTTATCGTTAAATTTGTCACGATGGGCTAACTGACCTGCCTTTTCATCTTCACCTCTCATTGATACCCTGCCAGTGTATATCGATAGCGCAGGCGGGATACTTTGCCATTTTCACCCATTAAAAAAATCCCTTTGGGCCAAGAAATGATATATATTTTAATTAAAAAAAAAAGCTAGTATGAAAGTGTGTCAAAGTAGACATCTGGAAAATACTCTAAATAAGAGATTCTTTGACATTTGCATACATTTCTGCACAATTTGCAAACATGATCCGTTTTATTTCTTTCATTTCTTATTAATATTCTTATTGTATTAGTTAGTCCATCCATTATAAAATATCTCCTCTCAGTCGTTGATTCTTGAAAAAACTAGAAGTAAAATCTTTAGCAGTTTAAAAAAACATTCTTTACTTAGTTATGTACTTATTAATAAGTGAAGAATGCGTATGGGACTCCATATCATTCCTATATTGAATTTGTTGTTTATACAATACTAAATATAAATCGCTATCTAAAAAAAACATCGTCACACATTCCTACCACAGTTCACATTATAGCCAGTAATAGAGCACTATTCTATTTGTAGACACATATATCTACAATAAATCGGGAGGCCCAGTAAATGTTATTGTTTTTGAAATCAGGAAGTCACCATAGATTGTGGGAAAAAAAAAACATTCTGGCAATTTTTTTAATTTTTTTACAATAAAATCGACGTATTTCCATTTTCAAAAATATATATACATACATTTATTTACTAATCTTATATATAGGATGAACAGGAAAATATTTTATTTGTGATAAGAGAGTTTATGAGTTTGTTGCACGAAAAGAAACTGTGCCAAAATTGTAAAAATAAATATTAAAATCTACTTAGAATTATGAAGACTTCACATAACATATAGACAAAAAATACTACAATTTAAAACCATCTGTTTGAAGTCGGAATCGATGGGCATGCATAAAACGAGTTATAAAAATGAATGAAGCAAGAGATGTATGTAAGGAAAACTTTAATTCATGTCTATATGCTTATCTGGTGAGGAGCTTAGCGTGAAGATACACATAGAAGAAAAAGTTGAAGTTAGGGATGGATAAAAATAGTGAGATTACGTCACAGGTCAAGATGTCATAGGATCAATATGAACCAACAGACCTGGAGTTGTAAAAGAGAACTATAAAATAAATGTAAAAGATTTATCAATAGGTATCTACCTGTAAAGATTACGAAAACAACCAAAGACAAACGTCATATTAAACAGTAGAGTTGTAACGATTGGCAGCCCTACTTTTTAACCACTTAAATCTATCCTTTGCCGACTCATCTGGCTGCGCTCACGACTCAGTTCAGTTCAGTTACAGAAATAAGTTCGTTCGAACCACACGTGCTGAAAATGGATAATGAAGTTCGTGAAACAGTGAAAAGTGTTAGTAAAAATCAAACTAAAAATGATAATTGGGGATATATGGTTTGTTTTGGAACAATAATTACATTTGTAAGTATCGTACGATTGCAATTATGATAAGACGTAAAAGATAAATACTAATTTATTGTTGTCATGCTATTATCAAGTATAATGGTTATTTCGCATGGAAATGTTTGTAAATAGTTTAATAAAATTTAATGCTATAACTGCATTTAATAAAGGTAAGTAAGTAAAAGGTTAGGTATCATACTTTTATTAGTTGTAATCTAGTTTTGATTGTAGTGTATTTATTTGTAAAATAATAAAATTCCACTAGGTTTATTGGAAGGTAATGATAAAATTATCTATACAGTCAGATATCTCTATATAATATCTAGACGACTTAAATTTATAGTATAGAATATGTTCCAAGTATTTTCCAAATATAAACTACATTAGTTTATATTTGGAAAACAAAGAAACAATGCAAACTTTGTTTATTGCAATGCCATGACTTTGCATTGAGTAATTCTATATTTTACGCTTACTGATTTTACAGTAACAGTATTCCAATGGATCACATTAAATTAATCTAAATATAATATAGACATTCGAAGCACTAGCTTCAATATTGGTGTCTGTTAATAAAATGGATATATATATATATATATATATATATATATATATATATATATATATATATATATATATATATTACCCACATTTTCACGTAGATTCTTATCTATTCACCTATCAGTACATTTCTATATGTAATTAGTATCTAATATAGCTACAAGATTTGAATTTAAATTAATAGATTGTTTAGATATAACATTTACGTTTACATCTAGAACATCGACATAGGATTTATTACATCGTGTATATGATTATTCGTATTATTTTTATACAGACGCATATTTTTCTATATATCTATTTAGAAATAACATTTTGCCTATATATTTCTATTATATTACCCAATAATTTAATTTTCTCGCATATACATAAGACTGTTCACATAATTTACATTATTTCTTTATTTTTATATTTAAATTATACCTACAATAGTGATTATTCAAATAAGTAGACATAGTTATGAATTATTTATATATTGAAATTTGTTAAAGTACAAGTGGATTTTATTGTTAAGTTTCGTAAGCACACATTATATTTTAATATAATAACTATACAGGTTTAACTTACGTATAGATAGATACTCTTTATTGTTTCTTCCATAACATTACAATAATAAACTTATTTAAATACAAACAATTACAAGAAAATATTGCATTAAGAAAACAATGGGCGGCCTTATTGTTAAGAGCGATCTCTTCCAGGCAACCTTACGTGTAATTAAATGGAGAAAGCTCGACTAGTTTTCGAACTAATTATACGTAAGTTGAACCGTTAGTTATTACATGGGTAACATACAACAAATGAGTTTTACATTTCTGATACCTACCTATTTCATTTGATGTGATTTAGGAAAAAATGTAGGCATTACGTATCAGTAGCATGTTTTGTTTTTCAGTTACATTTTAATCAATTACGAGTACCTACAATTAAAAATAATGTTCGTTGTATTCGTTTGGGATTAGATTTGCTGATAATAATTATTACTGCTATTATTATATGCATTTAAACACTACATATATTTCTTTTGAATATAAACATTTCAGATTGCAGGCATAGGCCATGTAAATTCCACAGGATTAATATATAATGACTTCATTATTGCAACACAATCGACCACCAAGTCCTTAACAATAGCACATGGTGTGTTTGCTTTAATGCTTGCCTTTGGAGGTAAGTCCAGTTGTACACATTGTGTTATTATTATTGTTATAACATATATAGACTTATTGTCTATTATCATATATATATATATATATATATATATATATATATATATAATTGATTCAATAATGTTATATGAAAAGTATTAAATGTATTTCAATTTCAGTAATAAATGGAGCTCACTTGGATGGCTAGATAGCCCCATCCTATATTTCTATATGCATATATTGTTGTTTTTCAGTACAATATATTACAAAAATTGTAAAAAGTATATCAACTTAATTCTCAAAAGTAGCAATACATGCAATTAGTTAATTATATCAGGTCATAGGTCAATAGCTTTTTTGTTAAGTTTGTTGTTTCTCTGAAATATTGTTTGTTATTTCATGCTTTGTCTACATGAATCAGTATATAAAGTATTCTATCTGTAAAATTAGGGTATAATCTACCAATGTATCAAAATTAATTCAAATCCATTAAGATTTAATTTCAGTAGTTTATGCATGAAAGAGTAACAAACTTTCGAATTGATTATCTTAATAGGATTAATAACACTTTGTTTACGTATATAATTACACTTTGTTATCTCATTTATTGTTTCCAGGTATAATACTAAATTCGATATCCAAAAAGTATTCTCTGCGATTTGGAGGTTTTATTGGTGCTTTCATATTATCAGTTGGATCTTTTTCAACAATTTTTATTAGAAACACAAATGAGTTGCCTTTGACATATGGAGTACTTCAGGGCATTGGATTTGGAATATTGACACCAGTATGCTATTCGATGTTAAATTATTATTATAAAGACAATGCAAGAACGACAGCAATGAGCATATGTAAAGGTGTTCAAGGAGTATTCTTGATGTGGTATCCACAAATTATAAAGAACTTTATGTCGTGGTATGGCTTCAGAGGAACTCTGTTGATAATAAGCGGAATAACTTTTCATACGTTTCCTGCAATGATCACCATGACAACAAATGAAAGAAGATCATCTAAGAAAACAAAAACAACAAGTATTTTTCAACTTTTAACATATACTGTTTATTTGAAATGGATAGAAAGAAGATATGCATGTAAATTAAATTTGCAGATAATGTAGAATATGGGAAAAGAGAAGATGAAAATGTTGATTTGTTAAATCGTAATAACAATAGCACAGAAGTGACTTATAAAACTACTAGTACAAATGAGGGGAATATCGTTAAGAAAATTGGGTAAGTTTAAAGTAACAATTAAAGTAAAAATAAGCCATTTTAAGATACGAGTAAAATTTAAATATTTAATTTATCCTTTAATATATGTACATAATTTTATTTTATTACAGTTCAATACTGTTGGATGTTTTTCATTTAAAAGTATTAAAGGACCCGGTATACTGTAATATTTGCATTGGCCAAAGTTTCTGCAACTTTTCGGATGTTACATTCTTCGTTCTACAGCCAATGCTATTTTTACAGTATGGTTTTGACAAAGTACGTTATTTAGATGAGTATTTGTTTAATCCTTATAAATATCTAATAAATTAATGTTTTTCGATTTCTAAGTTAACTATATACAAATATAGTAAAATCTACTGTCATATTATTACTTGACTCGAAAAATTCCCTATGGTTAACTGGGAGAGAATGCTTTTAGCATTAAGTTCGCCATGTACACATATTTGTACTAATGAATAAATAAATAAAAATAACCTTAGTATGATCAGCAGGCAATAAGCAGAATTAGTATTTATTATTAATTATTTATATTTCAAAAATAATTACTGAATTCGTATCAGGATTTGTGATCATGCAGAATATTGTTCGACTACTCGTACATAATTTAACCTAAAATACTTCTAGATTGTACATGTAGATTGTCTCTATAGATGACATTCAGTTCTTACTCTTGAAAATGAGAGATTCTTTAGATAATGTTGTCATCGTGTTTATAAGATTCTATAAGCTTTTTAAATATCACTAATAACACAGTAGTAAATTCAGATTCATTGTTATTTGAAGAATTAACATATCTACTTTTTTATCTTACTCTTTATTTGTATATTACAGACGGAAGCAGCGACTTGCATATCAATATGCGCCGGGGCTGATGTTGCAGGACGGTTTGTGTTAGCGTTTATAAGTACTCAAACTAAGATTAATACGAGATTATTGTATTATTTTACTATTCTTTTAACTGTCTTCTTTAGAACAGGTAAATGAAATTTTATAATTTAATAAAATTTATTAATTACTTAAAAATTAAGTAAATATATTCTCAATACCTTTTTAATTTTTAAAAGAAATAATATTAATACTTTTATTTAAATTTTTTTTAAACAACTTAGAATGGCAAACAAGCTGACGGCTCACCTGATAGAAAGTGGTAACCGTCGCCTACAGACATGAGCAGTATCATGGACATAACAGAGTATACTGTTTCGCCCATGATACCCCCCCATGCGTTGATACACCTGAGGACTCAGGTGTTATTTTTCTGTACCCAGTAAATTCACGCCATATCCCACCCTTCAAACCGAAACACAGCCATGCAAACACAACTGCTTCACGGTTGAAACACGAATAGGACAGAGATACCCAAGCAATCGACTTTTGTACAAAGTCTCCCTTTGGCAACACATGGGGGGTATCCCCATGCGTTGCCATTCCTGAGGCTTAGATGTTATTCGTCTGTACCCTGTAAATTCGTATATCCCACCCTTCAAACCGCACAGCCATATACGATTGAAACACGAATGGGACAAGGTACCTTTTGTACAAAGTACCCAAGGACTTTTGTACAAAGTCTCCCTCTGGTAATTTTATTATAATAAACTATGTCATATTAATTGCATGACAATTATTGATGGAACTGAATAAACATTTTTTAATCTTCTTTAATGAAAATATAGAGGTCGAAATATGATTTACTTTTTATATTAAATTGATCACCTGCCATATTGTATCTATGAGGGATCATTTTTAAAATGATTTCGAAAACGGGGTTTTAAATTTGCATGAAATCTTTTTATAATCTGTAGAGTATATTTCAGTATTCAATTATTTTAATTGTTTTTTTTTTAATAAATAAAGGCCTAGTGTTTTTGTAAGCTTTCCTATTTTTGAAACAAAATTTGCTCGTTATTGCCATTTTTTCTTTCTTTGGGTCTTTGTCAGTGAAATTTCATAAATAAGATGATTATAATGTTTTTGTCACGGTATTTTTTTTTTTTTTTTTTTTTTTTTTTTTTTATACAACTTAGAATGGCAAACAAGCTGACGGCCCACCTGATGGAAAGTGGTAACCGTCGCCCATGCGTTGCCATTCCTGAGGACTCAGGTGTATATACCCAACGCCATATCCCACTCTTCAAACCGAAACACAGCCATGCAAACACAACTTTCATGGATGAAACACGAATGGGACAGAGGTAACAATCGACTTTTGTACAAAGTCTAACAGGTAATTTCGATGACGGTAACGGTGACTTCTGGTAACGGTAGATTCTGTTTAGTCATTTAGATATCCTTAGTTAAATAAATATTCCTTGATACGTAATAAAAATGATATTTCGTCCTTAAAACCACATTATATACAACGAAATACTCACAGAATCAACACTTTTTTAATGGATGATAATGGAATGGTAATTCCGCCTGCGTTAACGGTATACGCTAGCGGGGTACCAGTGAGGGATGATAGGTAAAAATGAAAAAGCAGATCAATTGGCCCCTCATGATGAATACATGATAGATTCCAGAAGGGATCATGTGGAGGTCGATCTGACAGAGTATATTGCTAGTAATGGGATTAGTAGTCCGCATTACTAACAATCCTCCCCCTATAGAATTGATATTAAGTATATGTACGAAGTATAAAAAGTACTAAGTTGTAAAGAACTTTTCTTTGAACATACCATATTCGCTGTTAACTGTATATTGCTGAATACAGGCTTTCTCCATAAGGGAGGTCTTGCCAATAGCTATCACGCTTGGCAAGCGGATTGGCAACCACAGTAAGGATTTTTATTCTTATTAGGGGAACGCTACTGCTCATCCCTGGACCGTTAAGTTCCCTTAGTCGCCTCTTACGTCATCCACGGGAAAGAAAGAGATGACCCATTCTATGCGGGGTCCATACAGCATTTCTTTGTCGACTGTTCGATCTTTGTCACATGACATTTAAAATAATTGCTAAATCCTGAAGAGCTAGAAGCAATTCCAGTAGTTGGGTTACTATCTTAGATAACAGCTTCGAGTAATCTCTGAATACACATGAATGTAATATACACAAATAAATCACAATGTAATACGTATATTTGTCTACAGATATGTATATAAACTAAACGTGTGAACAATATTATATATTTTTTAGACTACATATAATTTCCATTGGTAAGTGGCGACTAAGGCAGAGCGAAGGGTGGGCAGCAGCGTCCCTCTTAAAACATTTCCAAAGCCTAACTTCGGTTGCCAATCCGCCAAGCGTGGCAACTACTGGCAAAACCCCCGTAGAGGGAGGCTTATGTTCAGCAGTGTACAGTTAAAGGCTGATATGATGATGATGATGATATAAGACTACAAGATATTTATCTACGAGCCCATGTTTATAAACTTGTTGTCTGAAATCAATAAATAAACAAACACATTTTGAGCAAATTTATTTTGATTTAAAATATAATTAATGATGATAAAATCAGCCGTTAAAAGCAGATAGATAGATACTTTTTATTGTTTCCTCCAAAAGTGTATTCGAATAAAGATGATTTCTATTCTATACAAGCTTAAAGGATCTGTATTTGTTTTTTTTTTTTAGTACGTTTGTTCCGTTGTGGAACAGGCTAAGGCCGGATACCATGCTGCCTAGTCTTCAGTATGATAATTTGTCTGGAACAATATATGTCTTTGTTTTAGTTTGTTTCTTTATGGGACATTTTGCTTTTTTTTTAATTTTAAGATAAGGAAGTACTCCGTTGCCATATAAATAAATGTCACTATTATTATCCTTTGCGCCGGTGATTATCACGCCAACGTATAACGTGGGCCACGGCTCCCATTTTGCGAGGCGGCAATAACAACTTGGAAGAATGCCAGCTAACCCATTTTAATCGTTTCTATAAAATATTATTTTTTTATCAGACATTTGATTAAAGACTTTATGGATGAACTAAATAATTATAGTGTATATACAATTATTACAAAAAAGTAAACAGTTTTTTTTTTTATTTAAACAAAAAAATGTTTCTTCGTATCGCGACAAATATAAACAAAAAAATTTGCCTAAAAAAATTAATCGTAAACACACGCACATACATATACATATCAATAAATAACAAGTACCGTAGATAGATCGACAGATCGGAGTGTCCTATTTTTTAAATATTTGTACTTAGAATGCGGATTTGAATATTTATAAGTAGGTATATCTTACTTTTTTTTCTTTAGTAATAAAAGTGAACTTATAAATATTCAAATCCGCATTCCAAATTCAAATATTAAAAAAAAAAACGCAAAATAGTTGTTTGCCCCACAGAGACAAACAACTTTAATCAACATAAATTAAACATGTGATTAAGATGATTAGGAAAAGAATCATAAAAATCAGTTCAGTCGCATAATACAGTCACAATAAAATTCAGACTTATTGAGAATTTCCTCCTTTCACTAAACTACAGCCCAAGGATCTCAAAATCCAATTCAAACCTAAATTTCTGAATTATTAATTTTTAGTTTTAATCATTTAAATCTTCACGTATTTCATGCTTCGAAGGACAGATAAAGCTATCGTCCGGTATGCCACGTCGAAGGCCTTCATACATAATGAAGGTACTTGAAACTCTTGTCACCAAATTGCCACACCCTCACACGATTAACAGTAATAGTCCTATCGTTTAATTGATTAATCACAATTTTTGTTTTTAGTGATTCTCCATGTCAACCAGTTCCTCTGGCTGGCTATTGTGACTGGTATACTGGGATTACTGCGAGCGGGACTACATGTGGCCAGTCCTTTGGTGATATCCAATCACGTTGCCCATGAAGACTTGCCTGGCGCTTACGCAGTCTTCTTGCTCACTGTTGGTCTGGTCAACGTGGCGATTGCTCCAATTATTGGTAATTTATTTTTATGCAATTTAAAAGGCAATAGAACTGACGGCCTGCTTGATGGAAAATAATAATCATTTAGACGAATTGGCAACCTTTTTTTTTAATTCGGTTCGTGTACAAATAAATTATGTAATTTTTTTAGATATTTCGCTTATGTTCTTTGAGTTTAAGAAGTAGGTGATACAGATATACGTAATCAGGGCATAGTCTGTACCCAATATTACGAATTGTTTATCAAATATTTAAACTAAACTATGTCAAGTGTTTAACATGTTATGTAGCACAAACGGTTAAAAGAACAAATTGCTTTAGGTAATGATACCTACTGTGTACTGGTTTAACCTGGTTATTTTTTTTTTTTTGTTTATATACAGTATTACTATCATAAGTAATTAAGTAAATAAAGTTTTTCATTCAAGAGAGTATTTTACAAGGGATATTGAATTTTTTTCCCAAAAAAACATTTTATATGCAATAAAAATTTAAACAAGCTAACAATCTACCTATTGGAAAGTAGTGACCGTCACCTATAGATATGAATATTGCCATGGACGTAGTAGAGTATACTGTGTCGCTTATGGCGCCCCTCATGCGTTGCCATTTCTGAGGAAGGTGTTATGCCTCTGTATCCTGTAATTTCATTGCCATATCTCAAGTTTTTGTGTTTTATGGAACAAAATCAATTTTTTTTTATAAAGCACTTGTATAATTTTTCCATATAAATACAATATTAAACATTTATTATGAAGATTATTTTATTGATCTCGTTATTACATAACTTTGGTTGTAGACAAAATAATAATCGAATTCAGTCTTTTAATAATAAATTTAATAGGCTAGACTACTTTTGTAAATAATAATAGTCCCAGATACTTCACAAAACGCCATCTAGTTCCAATTAAGCGCAAATAGGTTTTTTTTTTTAATGGATGATAATGGAATGGTAACCCCACCCGCGCTATCGGTTTACATCGACGGGGCACCAGTGAAGGATGATAGGTGAGGAGATGAAGTAGGTCAGTTAGCCCATCGTGACGAATTCAACAAGAGTTGTTCACGATGGTTTTCAGGGGGAACCACGTGGAGGTCGACCTAATAAGGCATATTGCTAGCAATGGGTCTGTCAAACTCCATTACTAACAATCCCTTTCCCCCAAGCGCAAATAGGTAGGTTCTAAGCACAACTTCATAGACATAGGTACTCATACACTTTTTAAGACATACAAATTTATTTTTTAAGAAATATTATTTACTTTGTTATAACAAAGATACAACAATCAAAGAACTAAAGCGACCTACACAGCCCGAAAGATAAGCAAATTGAAATGACTTGGTTACATAGCTCGAAGAACCAACAACCAGTGGAGAGGAAAGGTTCTTGAGTGACTCTCCACTATATGGAGCGACAACCTCAAATACATTGTACGAAGTCCGTGAATGTAGATGCTTAGGACCGTTCCTTATGACAGTCTGTGGGAAAGGCCTGTTTATCACGGGCCAGATAATGGCTGATATGCTGATGCTGATTATATCACATAACAATTATAAAAAAAGAAATTAATTTAAAAATTAGCTTATCTTGTTCGAATTAATATTTATTTATATATCTTCAAAAGAAATAAATCTCTTTCAAGATTGAATGTTTGCCATGTTTGTGTAACACGTTACATGCTTTTGATTTATGTAGATAAATTGTCTTTTACTTAGATATAAATACTGGTATATTTCACCACAAGAAAGGAGCCCGTAAATGCTTCTTGTGATAAATTACTCGATCAACGTGGAGAGACAAATTGAACCGTTTTTATTACAGTTAGCTCAACCGAATTTCACGTAATTTGCACTATCAAATCAATTAAGCTGTAATCACTAGTTCTGTAACCTAATACATTTAGGAACTTAGTTTTTTGATAAAAAAAATGAATTAACTTTTAAGAAATTAATTCAGAAAAAAATACTTATACGAGGTTTGTCCGGAAAGTACGTATAAAAGTTTTTTAAAAATTTTATTTTACAATTATTCAGGTAAATCAATTTTATCCCCTTCAAAGTACTCCCCCTGTGACATAATGCACTTGTGCCAACGCCGTTTCCACTGTGAGAAGGCTCCTTGAAAGTCCTCTGGTTGTAGGTTTCTCAGCTGCCCCGTCGTAGCTTTTTTTATCTCATTTATGTCCCCCAAATGCCGCCCCCGAAGTACCAATTTGGTTTTTGGGAACAAGAAGAAGTCACACGGGGCCAAATCCGGCGAATAGGGGGGTGTTCGGTCACCGTAATGGAATTTTTACTCAAAAACTCACGGACAACAAGAGAGGTGTGGGCAGGGGCATTGTCGTGGTGAAGAATCCAACGCCCCTCTCGCGCCAATTCTGGACGAACTTGCCACACGAGCTTTGAGGCGTCTGAGCACATCGACGTAGAATTTTCCATCAACTGTCTGGCCTGGAGGGACGAATTCTTGATGGACAATCCCCCGAACATCGAAAAAAACAATCAACAATGGTTTAGCCACTTGTGGACGGTTGGTTCCTTCACAGCATCATCCCCATAAACTGTTCTGAGATCGGCAAAAATTTCACGGCCATTCTTGCCGAGTTTTAGAAACTTGATTACGACGCGCTGCTCTTCAACGGAAGCGGGCTCCATGCCGACGGGGTTTCGTTAAGAGGTAACTTCACAGATGGCGTGACAAGCCAGTTCGCATCGCACGGCGGTCAGACCAGAACTGGAGCATTGTTAGGGACATAAGGAAGGGGTCCTGCGCTTACCTGGCCTCCCCACTCCTCTTTCTCGCATTCCAGAACACTTTTATATTTCCGGACAGACCTAAATGACTTTGCTAAATCTGCTTCTGACGAATTTTTATTACTTTTTTCAGGTATATTAAAGGATGAATACCAGAACTTCATACCTGCTTTCTACGCCTTAGTATTATGCTGTCTTCCTTGCCTCATATTGTGGCCTATCGAATATATACTAAGATATAAGAAGTGACTAATATTAATTGATATACATTAGAGAAAGTCAACGACTTTAAATGTATAAAAAGGAATTTGATTCCAATTTATACGGGTGATTATTTTTATATATTAAATTGTTGTCTGCGTTTATTGCATAAAAAAATCACTGTACAATAAAATTTTATCTTCGATAAATTATTTAAAAACAGTATTATATATAAGAAATTGTACATAAGTAATATATTTTCTTACAATAAAATTATTTAGAGACAATTTTTTTTTCTAATAAGGTTTTTTATTCATTAGAAATATTTTCAATGTATAATAATTACTATTATACATTGAAAATATACTCATAAAAATTACAAAATTTATACAACATTAGACCCATAATAGTAGTAAACTCTACCGATTAAAAAAGAATAATCAAAATCGTTTAGAATTTTACCAAAATTAGTGGGAGATTAATTTAGAAGTGATTGTAAGATAATCACTGAAAGTGCTATAGAATTGATTAAGTCGTTACGCACAATATAACTGCTAAATTGAAAACCTCCTCTTTTTGTAGTAGGTTAAAAATTTAACTAACATGTCGTTTATTCGTAGATATCTCTGTTATTAATTAAAAAGATGATATAAAGATAGATGGAAGCAAAATTCAGACGAAACATTCAAATTAAGAGACGATGTGAAGTAAAGTATACATCAAATTAAAATGTCGTTTCAAAAAAATTCGGGGTCATCCCGAGAGTAATCCCATGATTAAGAAAATAATTAAAATCGGTTTTATATATATATATATATATATATATATATATATATATATATATATATATATATATATATATATATATATATATATATATATATATATATATATATATATATATATACAAATTGAGAGCCTTAATATTTTGAACCGACTGTAAAAAGAAGTTTCTTAAGTCGGTTGTATTTTTCTATTCTTTTTATACAACTTAGAATGGCAAACAAGCTGACGGCCCACTCGTCGCCTATACCAGAACAGTACCATGGACATAACAGAGTATACTGTTTCGCCCATGATACCCCCATGGGTTATTATTCCTGAGGACTCGGGTGTTATTCCTCTGTACCCAGTAAATTCACGCCATATCCCACCCTTCAAACCGAAACACAGCCATGCAAACACAACTGCTTCACGGTTGAAAAACGAATGGGACAGAGGTACCCAAGCAATCGACTTTTGTACAAAGTGTCCCTCTGGTAATGTGTCCCTATGTTTTGTATCTGAAAAAAAAAGTCAAATTGGTTTAGTAGTTCAGTTTTTTAATCAAAACGACTGTTTTTGACACAATTGAAGTAGATTTTTTTCTGTAGAACACTGTCTTACATAATTAGTTATAATAATTGTATATATGAATCTAACGTACTGTGCCAATTATATGTTGAAATGTAATGAAATGTATTTATTTGTTATAAAAGTAGTACATAATAGATGGTATGGTTATTTATGTTATATAGATTTCACTTTTAGTCTTTACAGAATTAATCTATTATTATTCTTTATGCAATTCAATTTAAGTTACATATGATACATTTATTATTATTATAAAAAGTAATAAAATTATTTAGTTATAAAACTGTCATATATTAATTACGAATGTTAAAATTATGTCAAGTTTATTTAACTAATGTTTGATAACAATATAATTGATAATTCAGAGACAACTAATACCTATGTTAATATATACAAAAAAAAAGATATAGTTTTATCTCGTTCTCGATATCAGTCGTTGGTAGATAAGATAATTTGCAACGTTTTCAACCAACTTCCTAAAGATGGTTGTTACCTTGTTATCTCATAACGTCGTCAGTTCTAAATCGATTTGGAAAATTCTTTCTTTATCTTTACTGGGACTATCAATTGCAGCTGCCCTGCGACAAGCTTCTCATCGTGCCTCCCACCAAATTGTTTATAATTACTCCTCTCCATCCAAAGATTGCCTGGAAGAGATCGCTTTTAGCGATAAGGTCGCCCATTGTTTTTTCATTGATTATTTCTTGTAATTTTTTATATTTATAATATGTTTACTATTGTAATCTTTTGGAGTAAACAATTAAGAGTATCTATTTATATATCTACCGTGCAAAATGGAGTAACATCATAAGAGAGGCAACAGACACCTTTCAAGGACACGACCTTCAGTAATGAACTGAACGAAGAGAGAGAGATGGTTACTGTTGGTACCATACAATTTTTTATCAAAATCGGTCCAGTAGTTAAATTTATAGACCAAAACAACTGGTTTCGTCACATTTTATTTTATACAATTTAGAATGGCAAACAAGCTGACGGCCCACCTGATGGAAAGTGGTAACCGTCGCCTATAGACATGAGCAGTACCATGGACATAACAGTGTATACTGTTTCGCCCATGATACCTCCATGCGTTGCCATTCCTGAGGACTCAGGTGTTATTTCTCTGTACCCTGTAAATTCACGCCATATCCTACCCTTCAAACCGAAATACAGCCATGCAAACACAACTGGTTTACAGTAGAAACACGAATAGGACAGAGGTACCAAAGTAATCGACTTTTGCACAGTCTCCCTCTCACATTTGAAATCTGTTTTTTTTTGTGCGTCACAATCTGTAATTATGTATTGAATGTACTTAATTCATTTAGTTCATCACGTAAATTCTTCATGACTGTAGCCATTTTGATATAGCTGCTAACGATTTATTTACCTAAACCCTCGTAAAGTACAGGAATGCTTGGCGTGAAATATATGGTTCGCTTTTTCAGAGTTAGAAGGATATTACGCGGGCGCGTTGAAGGGCCGTCATTATAAGCTCACGGCGAGATGTGAACGTGGGGAAATATATGTACTATATATCGATAAACAATAAAAAAGATATGTCCACGATTATAATTCTTAAAGTGGTAATCAGAGGCTTTCGTTGATTGTTGCCGTAATGGTGACCGTAATATTCGACATGTCCACATTTCGACGATAAAGTCATGTTTTTAAGCGAGTTCTCATTAACCATCTATTTTATTTATGGACATGTTATTTGATTACGTCAACAATTCTGAATTCATTTAGATTTTTTTTTATATTTTTAAGATATGAATATAGAATGTTAAGCCCGTATGCACTATCAGTATACGCTGGCGAGGCACCCAAGAGTGAAGATAGGCGAGGATGAAAGCAGATCAGTTGGCCTAATTCCTGGAATGATAGTTGACTAATTATCTAGTACTGCACTTTATACTTAACACTTTATATCCTGAAGAGGTAAAAAACATTGCTACAAAAAAAAAAACTTCAAATCCTATCACTAATAGGAATTACCAGGAAACTTTAAAAATAGGGCAAACCCAAAAGATCATGAAAAGGTCGTAGTATAAGAGGTTTTTTTGCCTGCAAAGTCCGTTTTTTATGCAACTTAGAATGGCAAACAAGGTGACGGCCTACCTGATGAAAAGTGGTAATCGTCGTCTAAAGACATGAGCAGTACCATGGACATAACAGAGTATACCGTTTCGCTCATGATACCTCCTGTGCGTTGTTATTTCTGAGGACTCGTGTGTAATTCCTCTGCACCCCGTAAATTCACTGCCATATCCCACCCCTCAAATCGTAACACAGCCATGCAAACACAACTGTTTCACGGTAGAAAGACGAATGGGACAGAGGTGCCCAAGCAAACGACTTTTGTACAAAGTCTCCCTCTATTACCTATATCTATTAGTATTAATACCTATTTAGTACTGATAAAGCAAAAAATATAACACGTACAATAAAATACAATAATAATTATTAATATTCATATTACAGTTGATAATTTAAAATCAATATAATAAAATATTAACTATCGATAATCTTGCCACCGATATACCTACATGATAATCGTTATCGAGAATCGATAAATAGCTACTCGAGTGAACATTCTCTTCCCTCGGATGTTTCTTGAACGTAACTTTCGCCTACATCAATCTTAGCTGCGCGGTTTTATTACATTAGTTCCGTAGTGTCCATCACGTTATAAAGCGGCGTCGTGTTCCCCATAGTAAGTAGTCTATAGATACCTTTATGTTTTATACCTTACCAGCGACCCGTCCTGGGTTCGTATGAGTGCAAATAGTACATAAAAACCTTTCGGAAAATAATAGAGAAATGACAATGAAACTGAGAGAACCATGTTAAATAACAGAGACTTTGGCTTATTAGCTGTGGCTTATTAGAGGTATTAAACTGTTTTTTTTTTACAACACAGGGGACAAACGAGCATACAGCTCACCTGATAGTAAGTGACTACCGCCGCCCATGATCACTGGCAACACGAAAGGTATTGCAGGTGTGCTGCCGGCCTTTTAAAAAGGAATATGCTCTTTTTTTGAAGGATATGATGTCGTATCGGTTTGGATATACTGCTGCTGGAAGTTGATTCCAAAGAGTATTGAAAAACGCACGGTAAAGAATCGCCACCAGATAATTGGGATGAAACTTCAGTTTGTGGCGGGTGGTACGGTGGTGAAAATCAGCATTTGATCCATTATTGACAATTAACAATTACTGGTTAAAATAATGATGTCTTGATTAACAGTAATGCGCAATCAACGTCTATTCAATGTTATTTTACTTTATTTTCAATCAACTTTGAAAATGGAGTAAAATAACAGAGGGAGACTTTCATGAGCGAAATAATATACTAACTGTTATGTCCATGGTACTGCTCATGTCTATAGGCGACGGTTACCACTTTCCATCAGGTGGGCCGTCAGCTTGTTTGCCATTCTAAGTTATATAAAAAAAAAAGAAATAGACTCTTCATTTAATAGTATTTTTGTTTATATTTGTTACCTCATATCCCCGTAAAACCGATTTGGATTAATGGTCTGACGCAGTCTGGCGTAAAAAGACAGCTTCGTTCTTATATAGAATTCGCTGGAGTGGCAACAATATCCTGAAGATGTTTGTAAATAAATTAGATAGTCCTTTCGTGAGAATACTTGCTGAGAGGATTAGATTATTATTAGTAATGAAAAATTAACATAGTTTTTAAGTACACTTACTAACAAAAATAGACCCATGTTGTCTTAAATAAATAAATAAATAAGTAGAAATTTTATCCAGATCGGGTTAGTAAATCAATTTTTTAATAGTAAATGACCGCTTTTGCAACTATTGAAGTTTTTTTTCTCAGTGGAACACAATTTTAGAATATGTTTATAATAGAAAACAGTACAGGGATAACTATCACAAGAGTATTACAGGGAGTCACTGCATGCAAGTGGCGCAGAATCGTACTTTGTGACATAATATGGGGGAGATTTATGTCCAATTGTGAACATTGAATAGTTTGTAACGATAGCAGTAAACAACTCACATAATAGATCACCATTAAAAATGCCCTGCCATTCGAGCTTTACTTAACTAGCAGAGCTCTTTTGTGTCTTCATAAGTCTTCCTCGCTTTATTTTGTTGTCACTCACTTTATTTTTGAGGGAAGTCAGCTTAATTTATCATTTTTTCATACGTCTATTGTTTTTCGTGATAATTAAATTTGTTGTAACATTTATAAGTCGGTTTTCGCTTTATCTTATAACTTGTCCTCGTCTATGGCGGGCGTGCGAGGTTACAGTGAAATTTATTCATGAGTTTTCACAACTCAGTTTGTGGATTGACGCAAAAGAATCACGAGATGTCGTACTAAATTTCACATGTATTTTACTTTAATATTCCCTGGTTACATCATCATCAACGCCATATCAGTCTTTAATTATCCACTGCTGAACATAAGCTTTTCCCTTGGGGGGGTT